TTCGATGAATTCCTTTTCTTCCGACGAATATCCGTCGATAGCCACAAATGCCACCTTTTCTTTCTTACGATATCGACTAGTTTGTGATTTCTCACTTCTCAAACGTTCGACCTGTCGGATGCGACCGGCCAATTGAGCCATATCTTTTAAATATTGTGTATCTAGTTTTTTCCTAATGGAATAATTTAATCCTCCCGCCGCTATTTCGACTAATTCGTGTTTAGGGAGTTGTGTGAAGCAACGCACTTTCAACAGTTGGAACCTATTCAGGTGCTGATCTACAGATTTTGCAGTTTTCCTTTTTACGCTAGCTAATTCCTTCAAACTGATATTTGATTGTTCCATATAAAATTGTTCGTGGAACAATCTCTCTAATTGCGTCCATGTGTGGACCGACTGTGGGGGTAGTGAAGTGAACCATGTGAACACATTTTTTGTGAGGGACCCTAGGAAGTATTTCATTTTTAAATCCTCGTTATTCGCTATGTCTTCGGCCTCTGTCTGATAGTGGGCCACATGTTCGACAGTGGATTCCTCTGTCTCGCCCGCAAACTTAGTGAGTTTAGGGACTTTCCAACCCCTTGGTAACTCAGTTTGCAACACAAAATCTGACAATGGGGACGTGTAGGCGGGTCGTCGAAGGCTAGGGTTCGCACCATTTTGAACCATGATGCGTTCGACCATGGCCTCCAAATTAGCTTTGCCTCCAAGGTTCTTGTAACACCCATTTTAATTATTTTTAGTTTCGGTGTTATTGTATCCGTTGACGTGTTTTGTGTGGAATTATTTGAAGAATCATGAAATCATAATATTAATATATAGTGATAAAATGTGATAATTAGTAGTAATGTTAATATTGTTATTAATTATTATTATTATTATTACTAATATTAATATATATGAGTAAAATATAATTATGAGATTTTTGGAATTAAAAGGAATAAGATTATTAATTATGGAATTAAGAAAATGTGGAGAATATTATTTATTTGGAATATAAGAGTTGTATATTTTTGGGATGAAGGGCAATTGTGACATTTTGGAAAGAGGAAATACGGTTGAAGGAGAAGAACACGTAGCAGAATCAAGAACACGATCAAAGCAAGAGCAAGCTTGAGCAAGAGGAGGCTGGGCTGTAGGATTTTCGTGTGGATTGAGAAGCTTCATCAACATCAGTATCGAATTTGAGGTAAGAGGGGGGATTGATCGGTTGAATGGGTATTTGCATGAATAAATTGGTAGAGGGAAATCCCCTAATTCCCATGGATGATGATGAATGATGTTGATACATGTATTAGTTCTGTTATGATTGTGATTGATATGTTGAAAGTTCATTGCATGTGCTGTGGGGCAATGGTTTATGTGAAATTGGGGTTCCGGGTAGTTCGAGGTTTATTGTCGAAAGTTAGATAATTGAGTAGATAATGAGGTTTATCGGGTAAAATTGAGTTTGGATGTTGGGGCTAGGTTGTAGAACCTTAAGCCGATGATTTTAGTGTTGTCTTGATGGAAATTGGAGAGTGGGAGAGCTACTGATTTCTGAGCAGTAGTTTTATTTCTCCAGAATCGCAGACATTCGCTAGCCCATCGCTAGGCGAATGCCTGGCGAGCATTCGCTAGCAGCCCGCGTAGCGAGCCTTGATAGTGGTTGTTTTTCTGTACCCGCTAGCAAGTTCGCTGAGCGAGGTAGTGGCAAGCACTTCCAGTAGCTCAGAAGTGTGGTTCGCAAGGGGGTTCGCTAGGCGAACGTGTAGCGAACATTCGCTAGGAGCTCGCGTAGCGAGCAGGTAGCGAGTGTAGCAGGATTTGGTTTTTGAGGGCTGTATGTAGCTGATGATGCCGAGAGCGATCAGATTGATGTGCAATGATGATATATGAGGGTTGAGAATATGTTGAGGGTTATAAGAGCCGTGGGGCCGGCGTTTATCGCATCTGACATAATCGGTGGATTATGTGTTAAGTATAGATATGTATGGATGTGTATGTGATATGTATGTACTATGTGTTAGGTGTGAGATATGTAGATCAGTAGGATCATTGCACATTGAGTATGTTGTGATGAGTGGATCTGTAGGATCGATACGCCGTGTGTGCGTTGTGTTTGTGTGTTGTTTATTGGAATGGACCAGTAGGATCAGTATGCCTTATGTGCATGATGTGTGATATGTTGTGTGGTGATTGGATTAGTAGGATCGATGCACTTTGTGTGTTTGTGTGTATATGCATTATATGATGCGATGGATCAGTAGGATCGTGGGCACCGTGAGTGCCGTGTGGTTATGTATAATGTCTTGCATAGCATGTGGACGTGAGGTATGATTTACTCACGTGCTCTAAGTGGGGAGCGTGGACGCGGTGTATGATTCACTCGCGTGCTCCAAGGGGGGAGCGTGGACGTAATTTAGATCGTTGCTCGGATGGAGTGTATGCGACCACCCGTGTTCCAAGTGTGGAACGTTGGTAGGGATAGATCGTTGCTCGGATGGAGTGTATGCGATCTATCCTGAGATTTGATCATATGGGCTCAGGAGGAATGTGGTAGGGATAGATCGTTGCTCAGATGAAGTGTATGCGATCTATCTTTAGTGGAGTCGGTACCGCATATTGTTGAGTCGAGTGCATGTGTTGCATTGTTTGTGCGTGTTGTGATTGGTGGGATGATGGGACAGTAGGTCCGAACATGTTGTATGCGAAACAATGATTTATTGTTTTCTACCTTTTATTTCATGTACATTTATACCGTTAATATTTGATCGTGATTTCTCACCCCTTTTGTTGTTGTTGTGGTCTGTGCTTCTTCGGAAGTACAGACAATCCAGGTGTTTAGCTAGCTTGGATTGTGGCGTCGTCGTAGGATTGCTCTGATACGTAACACCAGGGCTTTTTGGAAGTATTTATTATTTATTGATGATTTTGTGTGCCCCTGTGGCATATCTTGTGGTGTTGAATATGATGATGATGTTTTGTACATTTTGGGCAGATGGCCGACTCGTTGTATATATGATGATGTGTATATATTTATATTATGTGTTATGACAGACTACTTCTTTTTCCGTTGCAAATTTTATTGAAAATCATTTTAAGGAATATCTTGTGAAATTTTGTTAAGGAATGTGACATCCCGTTGTGGGAGAAACTCTGATAATTGTTGATTTTAGTTGTTTTATTTTATTTTTGAGAAACAAGGTGTTACAGTTCTCATTTCTGACCTGTTAGACTATGTTGTCGGGGTCTTGGTCCCTGCGGACCAACACTATGGAGGGTCTCTGGGCCATCCGAGGGATCCAGTCAACCTCAGGGACTTGGACCTCTTCTTTGACGGGCTCATTTTGTCGACCCGACGTGTCAGGACGATTTGGAGGAGTTTGTCCTCTCACGTTCCTAGGTGCTCCTAGAAAATTTCCTATTCGTGCCATCTGGGTGGCTAATTATTGGTAACTATGCGTCGAGTCCTATATCAAAGGCCTCATAACGACACCAATCTGTTGTGTTAACATATGTACCATATCATGGTTACTTTCGTCCATCTGCTGGCGCATGACCGCAACATAACTAGTAGTAAACGTTGGTATTGCTGGGGGAAGTGTTCCAAATCCTGGTGGTCCTCCTCCCTGCTAGGTCACAGGGCCTAGGCTTCGGTATGACGAAAATGCGGAGGTTGAATTCTCTCCCCCGCCTATTCCCCCGTAACGCCAGTTCGACATGAATTTTGGCGACATCCCCAAGTGCTGAGGCGCCGAAGTGTTAAAATTTGGGGGACGTTGACAGTCGATCCCGGTCGTAGCGAGCTGTGCGTCTGTTCGACTGTGAGCCGCAAGTGGTGCGGTGCCAACGGTCGCAGTGACGGTTGACACGGACTCCATGCCCAGCACCTCCCCTGGCGAAGAAGATGTGTTTCCTTGCGAAGACGTTTCTTCGTTTGGTCGCGACGTCACCATCTTTCCGCTATGTAACTGCATACACCTAAAAATAGGGGTCCCACCGGGTGTGCCAATTTGTTCGCACGTGATTTTCGCGTGAACAACCTCTGGCCTTCCTACACGGATTTGCTTGCGGGACTAGCCAAACTAGTCCCAGAACGGTTTTTTGTTTCAGGCGCGTTATTTGCTTGGATAATGGTGCACTTTGACGGTTATATCTTTCGTAAGTCCACTCTCTGACTACCTTGGAATTTTAAAAACTAGGCAATGTAAAAGACAAGATTTTGGTATATATTCAGATAATGGGGCTTAAATGCCTAAACTATTGGGTAAACTTAGAATAAAACTTAAAGTATAATGGAAAAAGGACTTAAAGTAAAATGGAAAAGTGCAGGAAAAAAGGTGTTTCAACGTATTCGTACATTTTGGAGTGACAAAGTGAACTCTTTTCTCTATAGCGCGATACTCAGAGTGTTTTTCTTCAAATACTGACAAAAGACGCCCTTATCTCCTCCAAATTCTTGCTTTATATAGGCATATAGAGTAACTGCCAAGGGGCTTCAGGATGCGCCACGTGACACCCCACGCCTTTGGGAACTACCTCCACGTTCTCATTTCAAACGGGCTTCCCGATAGTCTTCTAAGTTCTCCTGTCGAGAATGCTTTTAACTGACTTCTTCTTTGTGTCGATCGACACAACTCTCGTCGATATGCTCAACTCATACTGTCGAATTAGGGGTGATGCTTGTCGCATTTATTACTATTGGCCTTCGTTCTTTATGCAAGTGGTTAGTCGATTTTTTACCTCTTGTCGATGTTAGTTGGCTAAGTTTTCACTCAACAGGTGGCTAAAAAAACTTATGGAGTGTTGTAAGAAACTCTCTTAAAAAAAACCAATCTGTCTAGAAGTGACGTGGCGTCAAGTTTAGTAGTAAAGACACGCTCCATCACTAGCGGGAAAAAGAGATCTCACCACTATCGTTTTCACTGAGTTTCTTCTTCCGTCACACTGACACACGCACGCCCACATAGAACTGATAGAACCATCACAAAATCAAATACGACGTCGTTTAACCCCGTATGCTTCCCACTCCATCCATTCCAAAAACCCTAAAACCTTCATTTCATCTTCCATTTCTCGCCATGAAGGACCGCCCCTCTCTGTCCTCCCATGGCGCCATCTACGTTCCTCCGCACCACCGTCTCCGCTCCGTCATCACCTCCGCTAACTCCCTCACTCCAGTTTCCGCCAAGCTCCGCGAAAATCTCACAACCACACCTACCACTCTTCAAACCACCTTATCAGATAACAAGACGAAATCGCGCTTTGTTTCTGCTTACGACGACGTCGTTTCCGAAGTTGAAGTTCCTTCACTACCGGTGGGTTTACTTAAAACTGTTTCCTTTTATATTATTAGTGGTATTTGAGTTGGATGTTTAATTTTCTCCGTTGATTTTGCCTGGTTTGAAATCTGGTGTGCAGAGTGGTTTCCCCAATGATATCATGCAGGAGTGGAAGCCAAAATTTACAATGCTCTTGAATGATGAGAGTAAGCAAGAGTTGATTTCAAGGGAGAAAAAAGATAGGCGTGATTTTGATGAAATATCACTTTTGGCTAGTAGAATGGGGTTGTATAGGTTTGTTTTCTATTCTCTGGTTTGAATAATACTAATGTGTTTGAATTTGAATCACTAGTATTGTTTGGTATGGTCTTTATTGATCAATTCAATTGCACTTGTTTATGGCAGCCATATGTATTCCAAGGTTGCTGTCTTCAGTAAGGTGCCACTTCCCAACTATAGATATGATTTGGACGAAAGGAAGCCTCAGAGGGAGGTATATATCTTGCTATGTGATTTGTTCTCGACTTTCCCGTTTTCTATCATTTTAGACATTATACAAAAGCATAGGCTATGTTTGGATTGGTGAAACATAACGAAGCGGAGCGGAATGGAGCATTACAGAATGGAATGGAGCGGAATGGAATATAGATCCCACTCTATTCTATTGTTTGGCTATTTTATTTAAAATATCACATTCCGTTCGTTGCATACATCCCAAATTGGATGAAACAAAAAATGAGGGTTTGGATGGAATGAATTCCATCAAGTTCCGTTCCATTCTATCCATTATTCACAAATCTAAACAATGGAATCTCATTATTTACCATTTCGTTCCGTCGCATTCCATCAATCCAAACACACCACCCTTAAATGCTCTTTCCTTTTACTCCCCCTCCTTTATATTATTCTTCTGTTTAAATGCATGTGAAGCATGATGGATTTTTGATGTAATTTCATAACAAATCTCATTGATATAATAAATTTATCACTCATACAACACACCTTAGTAAAGCTTTCAGTAATTGATAGGTGAGCATGCCTATCACTGTGTTCAGGCGGGTTGCTGCACATTTTGAGGAATATCTTAGTCGAAAGCCCAGGATAAACAAAAGCTTTTCAGATTTGTCAAGCAGTGATGGTAGTATTGGTACAGATGAAGGGCTTTTTGAACAGCCTGAGCCGCTATCATCCAGTAAGGCTGTTGTGGAGAAAATTCTCTGGCAGAGAAGCCTACAAATGCGGGATGTGCAACAAGCTTGGCAGGTTACTTTAACTTGGATATAAAATTATGTCATGTCTTCCTTGTTTGGTACTGTGGTATAATCCTCTGTTTTGTTTGAACTTCCATTTTGAGGGTTGGGGTATGGAAGATGGATACTGTGTTCATGCCTAACTTATCTAGTAATATGTTTGTAGAAATATATTTTATATTTCCTTGTTTTTTCATGAGAATCACATATGCTGTATTTATGGAATATACAAGGCAGGATTTGAAAAAGACATATGCCTTAAGAACCAGGGGAATTAATTTCCCATAAATGCTAATTCTAATTACAGAAAAGAACAGGAAATAATAGCTAATTAATTACATTAATCCTAATCCTAATGGGCTGTACAAACAGAATCATTTGATTCTGTATTGATTGTTCCACACTCCCCCTCAATCTGGGTGGTAGATGTCTATCATACCTAGATTGGATATGATATTCTCATATATGTTCCTTGGAAGGGCTTTTGTTAGATTGTCTGCAGTTTGCTGGCATGATGGAATATGATTAACACTTATAATTTCATGATCAATTTTCTCTTTGATGAAGTGTCGATCTATCTCTACATGCTTTGTTCTATCATGCTGTACTGGGTTCTTTGCAATGCTAATAGCAGCCTTGTTATCATATAATATCTTCATGGGGTGATTGGTAGGAATTTTGATCTCTTCTAGCATTCGCTTAAGCCAAATTCCTTCACAAATACCTTGTGACATAGCTCTGAATTCTGCTTCTGCGCTACTCCTGGCCACAACAAATTGTTTCTTGCTTCTCCAAGTTACCATATTACCCCATACAAATGTGCAGTAACCTGTAGTCGATTTTCTGTCAGATAAACATCTTGCTCAATCAGAATCAATGTAGACTTCAATACCTCTGTTTGAGTTCTTTTGAAATTAAGTCCTCGGCCTGGCGTACCTTTCAGGTACTGGAGAATTCTGTTCACATTTCTCATGTCAGTTTTAGTTGGATTTGACATATAACGACTACCATGCTTACAGCAAAAACAATGTCTGGTGTGAATTAGATAGATTAATTTTCCGACTAGACTTTGATATCTATCTTTATTAGCTAGTACATTTTCATCTTCACTCCTTTTTACTTGTTCTATGGGAGTATTGGCAGCTTTCCATCCAAGCATATTTGTTTCTTGAAGTAAGTCCAGAGTGTACTTCCTTTGAGAAACTGAAATACCATTCTTTGTTCGTGCAATTTCCATCTCTAGAAAATACTTGAGTTGTCCTAAGTCTTAGACTTCTAATTCTTTGGCTAGAAGTTTCTTTAACTGGTTGACTTGTTCATCATCATCCCCCGTAATTACGATATTATCAACATAGACAATAAACAAAGCTATCCTCCCATCCAAAGAGTGCTTGACAAACATAGTATGGTCTGTTTGACATTGAACAAAACGTCTTGCTTGACAACTTTTGTTTGTCTGTCAGATCATGCCCTTGGTGATTGTTTTAGGCCATATAGAGATTTTCAAAGTCGACACACCATGTTTGAGGTTCCAGGTGATTCAAGTCCCGGAGGAATTTGCATATATACCTCTTTTTGTAATTAGAAATGCATTCTTTATTTCTAGTTGGTGTAAGGGCCAATCTAGATTTGCTGTCAGAGATAGTAGGAACCAGACAGAATTGAGCTTCGCAACAGGAGCAAAAGTCGCCTCATAATCCATCCCATATGATTGTGTGAACCCCTTAGCAACCAACCAATCTTTTTACCTGTTTATACTCCCATCAGCATTGTGCTTAATTGAAAATATCCACTTGCATCCTACTGCTTTGTTTATACTCCCATCAGCATTGTGCTTAATTGAAAATATCCACTTGCGTCCTACTGCTTTCTTCCCTTCTGGTATAGCAGTGATCTCCCATGTGCCATTTCTTACAAGTGCTTGAACTTCTTTTGTTACAACTGCCCTCCATTCAAGTTTCTGCAATGCTTCTTGAATATTATTTGGAATTTCTATGTTGTTAACAGCTGCTACAAAGGACCTGTAACTTTGTGATAGTTTTCCATAGGAGATATATTTTTCAATAGGGTGTTTAGTGCAAGTTCTAACCCCTTTTCTCATAGCAATAAGAATATCAATATCTGTTGTATTTATACCAACATGTTCAAGTTAGGAAGAATATTACATGTGGGAACTTCATTTTCTAGAGTCTGGTATGACTCATGGCCTTGCATCGGGGCTATACTTGACTTTACTTCCTTCCTCTTCTTTTTATAACAAAAACCCTTCCACTTGCTTGTTTTTGGATCACAATTCTGTTGAGATGTGGTTGAGACTATAATTGGTCCTGTTTCCATCACAGCTTCTGTTGTCCTTTCACTCGGCTGAATGTTAGAGGTTTAGTTTGGTAATTTTCAACTAATTTAGGTATAGGTTCGACTGATTGAGTGTTACCGGTTTGGTCTGGTAAGATTTTGTCATGTTCGGTTAGTTTAAGAGGTTCAAGAGGCAAAAGTTGGTATTCTGAATTTTTGAAATTTTCGACGTATGATTGCTTCTCCTGAATACCAGTTTTGGTGTAATAGGGCTGATTTTCAAAGAAAGTTACATCCATGGTTTGGTAAATTTTTTTAGTATGGGGAGAGTAACACCTATATCCCTTTTGGTGAGGAGAGTAACCAAGAAAAATGCATTTGATGGATTTTGGGTCTAATTTGCTTCGGTGAGGGTTGAGGTTATGGACAAAAGTTGAGCATCCAAATATTTTTAATAGAATGGAGGAAAAGATTTTGCTGGTTGGAAATAGGTTTTAAAGTGTGGAGAGTGGGGTCTTAAAGTTAAGGATACGGGAGGGCGTTCGATTTATAAGGTGAGTTGCTGAAAGGACAACTTCTCCCCAAAAGTGTTGTGGGACATTTGTGGCCAACATAATTGATCTAGTCACTTCCAAAAGGTGTCTATTCTTTCTTTCTGCTACTCCATTTTGTTGGGGAGTGTCCACACACGAGCTTTGGTGAACAATTCAAACCTTTTGAAGATAGGAATTTAGAGCAAGGTTGTAATACTCACGACCATTGTCGGTTCTAAGTATCTGAATATTGCTTTGGAATTATGTTTGTACCATCTTATGATAAATTTCAAATATTCTCCCTACTTTTGATTTTTCTTTCATTAGAAACACCCAGGTAAACACGTGTGTGATCATCAATAAAGGTGACAAACCATCTCGAGCCTGTAATGTTGTGGACTCGTGATGGTCCCCATACATCGCTATGAATTAATGAAAAATGTTTGGAGGTTTATAGGATTGGGGTGAGTAATGGTTTCGGGTATGTTTAGACAATAGCAAATTTCACACTTGAAAATGTTCCATGTTTTTATTGAATAAAGAGGGAAACATCTCTTCCAAGTATATGAAATTTGGGTGGCCTAATCTATAGTGCCACATCATTACAGGATTATTATCATTTGAAACTGCAGCTGCGACATGTTAATTATTCTTGAGTTTTTCTTCTGATTTTTCCACTTGAAGGAGGTAGAGTCTAGCACACTCTTTAGCATTGCCAATCGTCTTCCTCGACTCTAAAATCTGAAATTCGCATAAGTTAGGGAAGAATTTAGTAAAACATTTCAAATCTCTTGTAATCTTGCTAATAGACAACAAGTTACAATCCAGTTTGGGCACATACAAAACAGAGTGAAGTATAACATTTGGTGAAATGATAATTGATCCTTTACCCATGACCTTGGAAAGTGTACCATCAACTATTCGAACATTATAGTTATAGGGACATGGAGAATAACTACTAAACAAAGTAAAGTCTCCAGTCATGTGATCTGAAGCCCCTGAGTCAACAATCCATGATTTTGTTTTTTCCTTACTAGTGTTTAGAGCATGTAAGTAATTACCTCTTTGAGCCACTACAACAGTACCACCTTTTTCTGTAGTTAACATGGTTTGCTGAAAGAGTTTTTGAAGAGCCTCCATTTGTTCTTTGCTAAAAGAGGATGAGTTAGAGTATACCTCACTTTCTTGATTGTTACATGCTGTGTTACCTCTGCCTTCCTTGCCTTTGAACAATTTGGCCTCTGAAGGTGTTTCATGTATGATCCAACATGTTTCTTTTATGTGGCCTGGTCTCTTGCAGTGATAACACCAGGGGCGGGTTTTCTTTTGAGGTGGCCGAGGCTGATTCCCTCTTGCTGCCATTGCAGAGCTTTCGCTGTACAAAACTGAGTTGGGTGTCGCCAACATGATTTTCCTCCTGCTTTCTTCCCTTCGCACTTCTAAAAAGGCTTCTCGAATTTTGAGAAGTGGTTTGGTTCCAAGAATCCTTCCACGAACTTCATCTAGGTCCTTGTTTAGTCCCAATAGGAATTTGTAAATCCTATCATTTTCCACCGGTTTCTTATACTTCTTTTGATCTTCTGTACAACTGCCAGTGTTTGTTAAGTATGTTAAAATACTCAGTAACAGAAGATTCTCCCTGTCGAAGGTCATGAAGAATGCTTTTTATTTCAAATACGACAGATGTATTGTCAACATTTGAGTATGTACCCTTCACTGCATCCCATATTTCTTTTACAGTGTCATAGAACATGAAATTTTCACCAATTTCATTTGTCATGGTATTGAGCAACCATGACATTACTTGGCTGTTCTCAAATTTCCATTTCTGAAAGTTTTTGTCTCCTTTCTCGGGACATTTAGATTCTCCTGTGGTGTAGTCTTTCCTTCCTTTTCCTTCGAGGAAGATCTTGACTGACCTTACCCATTGGGTATAGTTTTGACCATTTAATTTATGGTCTGTGAAGAGGTGAGTGAGCCCTTCGTGTGAACTGGTCAGAAATGATCCAGTCTCCACTTTGAGCGATTCATCAACTTTGGGATCCTCCATAGTTTGGCGGCGCTAGGTTAGGGATAGTTCAGATCTTGCTCTGATACATGCAGAAATATATTTTATATTTTCTTGCTTTTTCATAAGAATTACATATGCTGTATTTATAGAATACACAAGGCAGGATTTGAAAGAGACATCTGCTTTAAGAATCAGAGGAATTAATTTCCCATAAATGCTAATTCAAATTACAGAAAAGAACAAGAAATAATAGCTAATTAATTACATTGATCCTAACCCTAATGGGCTGTACAAACAGATTCTGTATTGATTGTTCCCGATAAAAGAAAAAGTTTCAATGGTTCTTCTTCATGGTCATTAGTCATTGTTATTTGCTGTTAAGATCGCAAGTTAGATAGTGGGTCAGACAATTTATGACCTTACTGCCACTTGGCTGTTTAACTTAGAAGAATGCTCTAGTCTTTTTGTGACGCATTGAATTACACATTAAATACCTGAGGTCTCCTTAAATTTCTCTTTGAATCTTAATATTTAATGGCTGTATGAGTTTTTTGAGAGTCACACTAAAAAATCTTGTGCAATAGGTTGCAATGGAGCCCAGCCCGACGCTATTGTGACTGCAACTGAATAACACTCCACAACTGTTTTTATATCTGGTGTCTACGTCTAGGATGTTTGATTAACTTTTGAAAAAAGCGCAGAAAGGAAAATGAAAAAAAATTGAATTTCTTATTATTTGTTAGAATATATCATCTAGGGTTTAGGGTGTTTAATTAACTTTTGTTAGCTTTAGCTTGAGATAGTGTCACACCTTTTGTTATCTAAGGATTAGTTTTACTATTTTTATATATTTGATGAATAGTTTCCTTATATAATAATTAAAATTAGGTGTTTAATGTTTGTTATGATTGTTTTCTTTGTTTAATTAAGAATTAGTAGTCTAGTATTATTATATATACTATAATTACAATTCGAAGTCTTTGTTTTTCTCTTCTTATCTTTAGACAACAAAATAGCTTGAATGTTGTTGACATCTTACCTTTTCATTTCAGGAGTCATCTGAAGGAAAAATAATGCTAGAATTTCGTAGAAATCTCCCTGCTTATAAAGAGAAAGAAGCAATATTATCGGTCATATCAAAGAATCAGGTTTGTTGAATAAGGGCTATTAATTTTATGGATTAAGCCTCTGATTTATTAACTGCATTTTAGGCGGAGTTGTGTATCACCAAAACTATTTCTATAACACGTTCTTGCCAGTCTTGTGATATCGATGTTGAAATATTGACCAATCTGACTGGTTTACACATGGAAGATCAGCTGTGAGGTGTTTCAGAGGATAAATTCTATGCTTTTATGCAAACCGAAAATTGTATTGTGAAATTCACAAGTGCTGAAAAAAAGAAATTGGAGTTTTGGAGGGCGAAATGTTTAAACCAACAATATTAGGTAAAACTATTGAGGCTAGCTATCCTTTTATTGGAAAATGAATGGTTTAAGTATGTTGGAGGTATGGTTGTTTGTTGTGGCTGCTGCTGCAGTGATTATCAAAAAGGGGGTTGTTTTTGTGGGTAGAGGTTGGCTATGAAGACAATTGTATCAAGAATTCATGATTAAATATCAGGAATATGATTTGGATTTATTATTCTGTTGAGAAGATAAAAAAATCTATTGAATCAATTGCTCTAGTGCACTGCTCTAGTTATTCTTTATCAGACACATAAGTGGTAATGCGAGTCGTGTAGTCATGTCATGTAAGCCATTGTTCCTCCGTCCTGTTGTGAAACAATTTTCGCCCATCATATTGCCGCTGGTTGGGTTATTACTTTCATCATTGTTGCTGACAAAGGGGCTGATTGTTTCTTGTATCTTAAACTCGGTTCCTTCTTTTTCTTTTTACTGACCCATCATTCTACAATTGATTATTACAGATTGTAGGTTTACGGGTAAGGAATTAGATTGATTTATGGAAACAGAATGGTGGAAATGTTGGTTATTTTATTTTATTATATTTTTATTTTTAAGAGATGGAGGAACATTTAGTAGAAAGGTTGGTCATTCTCTTCTCTATAAGGTCAAGATCTCCACAGAATACTTGCATTCTTGGACAGAAAAGGTAAAAGGAGAGGATGACAGTGGAAATGACTCTGAGGACTGTGCCTGGCTGTGTGTGAAAGAAGGGCGTGAAGTGTGGTGGTCAGCGCCATTATAATTTATAGATGTTGAAGGAGGAAACTGGGTAGTTAAGGTTTGGAAGGAGAGAGGAAGATGATGACTTGACATTCCACTTTTAGTAATTTTTTGCCACATGGCATGTGGCAACGCTGACATGACATTCTCATCTATACGTAACAGACAAGGAAATATGTCATGGAGTCAACGACAAAGTCCACACTCTAAAACAATGAGGGATAGAAATGGTAACAAATACTCTGCGGCTAAAACAAAAGTCACTGTATTTAAAGGGAGTAAAAAGATATTTATTCTCTTGATATCATTCAGTTATGTCCTTGGCAGAAATCACTGGATCCTTAAGACCCTTGGAATCATACAAAATATTTTCAGCTTTTATTTGACCAATGATAGTGTGTCCAGAAATTCTTTTGCTGAGCTACTGATGTTTTATTGGGACTATAAATGCTTTTATTAATAATGAATAAATAAAAATGTAGCATGCATCTTGTTTCATTACTGTGTTATCCTATACTTGGTTTGTATATGTTGGGTTGGCTGGTTGTGGCCAAATATATTTTTAAAAGTAGTTCATAGTCTTAATTTCAATTTTCATTTTTTTGTAAATTGACATCTATAATTCAATTGTCAATTACTGAAAGACATATTTTGCAGGTAGTCATCATTTCAGGCGAAACAGGTTGTGGCAAGACAACACAAATTCCTCAATTTATTTTGGAATCTGAGATAGAATCAGTTCATGGAGCTGCTTGTAATATTATATGCACACAGCCAAGACGCATTTCAGCCATGTCTGTTTCGGAAAGGGTTGCTTTTGAGAGAGGGGAGAAATTGGGTGAATCTGTGAGTTTGTCTGCCAATGACAATTGCTTTCAATATACTATCCCATCTAATTACTGTTATATGAGAACTCAAGTATTTCACTGCTGGTGGCTCACACACGCTCTTTTCCGTTGAAAGGTTGGATATAAAGTTCGACTGGAGGGAATGAAAGGGAGAGATACCCACCTTCTCTTTTGCACAACAGGCATCTTATTAAGAAGATTACTGGCTGATAGAAACCTTAAAGGTGTAACTCATGTTATTGTGGATGAAATTCATGAACGTGGGATGAATGAAGGTTGAACTCTGAAGTTGATCAAATCTTTAACTTTCAGAAGATTTCTTCTCAATATTACTGATCTTGCCTTTTCTATAACAGATTTTCTGCTTATTGTCCTTAAAGAACTCCTTCCTCATCGACCCGAACTCAAACTGATTTTGATGAGTGCTACCCTAGATGCAGAGCTCTTCTCTTCGTATTTTAACGGGGCTCCAATAGTGAATATATCGGTGCGTTTCTAAAACTAAACATACTCCTAGTTTACGTTGTAATGCGGGTCGATGCAGGATTGGTTAGTCTGATAGATTCTGTAGTGAACTAGTCCATAACTGGTTTTGTCATACCAAACATACTATTGATCGAAAAATTGCTTTTAGAATTATTGAATTGGCCATTATGATTGGTGAACTGTATAAATGGCCTACTAGCCCGTCAACCGATCCAATGTTTTAAGTTGGAAATTGAGTAAATCGTTAATTTAGTCCCTCAAATTGTGTAGAGGTTAAGCAGTTTGGTCCCAATTCCAAAGTAATCCCTGAATGGAAAATCCTACCATGTTGGTCCTTTTGAGCCATTCAATTGAGTCTTGAAATTGTCCCTAAAAGGGTTCAATGTGATTGAGAATTTTCATTTTAAGGAATCATTGATAATGTATTTCAGCACACTACTTTTTATGGCAAGTGCACCGAATTTCACGGGGATTGTGTTTCAACAATCAACAACTAGAAAATCATTGCTTATTGCACGTGGTAACAAGATATTTTAGGGTTTGGTTTTAAAGACATTGTTTAAACGATATAATAAATGGTATGGAGGAAGTGGGGTTTGTTGAGAGTTCCACACCTATTGTGGTATGACATCAAAATATATTTATAAGTAGAAGTTATTATTTATTACCTTACGAGCTGGTTATGTAAGGTTGAGTTAGGTCTATCCAAATTGTAAGAGGGTTCAACTTAGGTATAACGTCATCATAAAAGGAAATGAAATTTGCTCAAGGATTCGTGTTTCCAGCCATTTTTATTTCAGTTTTTTTAATTATTACCTTTCTTGGGATAGATATTTTAATATTTTCTGCCAAGAAATATAAGCTTTCCTTTTTCTTGTTGTTTTGGCTGATGTGCTTATTAATATAGGGCTTTACACACCCTGTTAGAACTCTCTTTTTGGAGAACATTCTTGAAACGATGGGCTATCGATTGACCCCTTCTAATCAAATTGATGATTATGGCCAAGAGAGGTTGTGGAAAATGAACAAACAGGCCCCAAGAAAGAGGAAAAGTCAAATTGCTTCTGCCGTAGAGGTATGCCAAAAATCATGAACTGCAGTTGCTTCAGTGCATGTTTAGTATTTTTCTTACATTACATTCATTTTTTGAAAAATGTGATCAGGATGCAATTAGATCTGCTGATTTCAAAGATTACAGCCTTCAGACACAAGAGTCTTTGTCGTGTTGGAATCCTGACTGTATTGGTTTTAGTCTCATAGAATATATTCTGTGCAATATTTGTGAGGATGAAAGGCCTGGCGCTGTTTTGGTTTTCATGACTGGTTGGGATGATATCAACTCTCTGAAAGAGAAGCTCCAAGCACATACTGTCTTGGGAGATCCAAACCGTGTTTTGTTACTTGCATGTCATGGCTCAATGGCTAGTTCAGAGCAAGTAATCTTCTGTCTGTTGACTACTGAACATTATAGTTTGCATTGCATTGTTACCTAACCTAGACACCTAAGTTTAGCAACAAAGTTTGCGAAATCTTATGCTTGAAATAACAAGCACGATCATATGTTTTCTGAAAACTTCTATTAACAATATGTTACATCTAGAGTGAAGTATGTGATTGAATGTCTTACTTACACCCAATATTTGTATATATTGTACATTATTGGATATGCAGAAAGTAATATTTGAAGAGCCCGAAGACGGAGTGAGAAAAATAGTGCTAGCAACAAATATTGCCGAAACGAGTATCACAATAGATGATGTTGTTTTTGTTCTGGACTGTGGAAAAGCAAAAGAAACATCATATGATGCACTGAATAATGCACCTTGTTTGCTTCCTACATGGATCTCTAAGGCTTCTGCTCATCAAGTAATGTTATATTTTGTTATGTATATCTGGCATTGATCACTTTTATAATATGTTCGATGTACAATGTTGCCGGACATCGTTTTCTATGCTTTCAGTTATGTACATGTATGTATGTATATTGGTTTACTTTTTGCAAGTATTTTTCCTAGTTCATATCAGTTTAGTTTGGCAGAATACTATATGGACTCTTGGCGATTGGAACCATTTTTACAGTTTTGTTGGTTTGAATTTGAATTTATTTATGGTAACAATGCATATTTTGCATGATAAATCAGAAGCAGTTGTCTGAATATAAAATAATATCTTGATATTATGTTGGAATGTCTTGGTTTGTTTATCTCTAAGGATCAGTTTTCAATCTTAGTGTATCTTAGATTATCTCCTAGGACTCGGATGAAGTTTTCTGGCCTTCCCTAGAAGACTTATAATTATTACTAATAACTAATATCCCGATCCTCCATTGCATATGAGTCAAATAAACCACAATTTAAGTTCACTTAGAGGTTCCATGCTATTCACCCGACTTTATAAATAGCTTGATGCAATGCCATATGGCAGTGGTCCTTATACCATTATTTACAGAATGAAGAGGCTAAGGACAGTTTAAATTCTTTTTTAGTTCGAGGGAGGGGGTTGGCGTATGATTATACACCCAGGTTTAGTGCGTTGTGTGAGTGAAGGTATTCAAATAAAAATTAACATTTTGTTCTCTAGGCTTTGGGTTTAGGGGGCATTTGTGTATAAGTATAAATCATGAAACTGTTGGACGTTAAACATTGCTAATATTATCCTTTTATCCCCGGATCCTTTTTTCTAGAGAAGAGGAAGAGCTGGCCGTGTTCAACCTGGAGAGTGTTACCATCTCTATCCTAGATGTGTATATGATGGTTTTGCAGAGTATCAATTGCCAGAAATTTTGAGAACACCTTTGCAGTCTCTCTGTTTACAAATTAAAAGTCTAAGACTTGGAAGTATATCTGACTTCTTGTCTAGGGCTTTGCAGTCTCCTGAGATACTCGCGGTAATTATGAAGTTGATTTATTCTGTAAAACTCTATCAAATCATGCGTACCTTTATTTTTAATTAGATAAGTTGTTTATTCATATATTTTGTTGATTATTTTCATATAAATTGCACCTCATTTTTCTTTTAATATTTATTCATAGGTACAAAATGCAGTTGACTATTTAAAAATAATTGGGGCTTTGGATGAGAATGAGAATCTGACAGTTCTAGGTAGGTACCTTACTTAGTAATGGAAAGTTTGGCTTATTAATTTGCCCTCAAAATGATGAAAACTTGTGCTTGGTTTTCCAATTGACAGGACACTATTTGACAAAGCTTCCTATGGAACCCAAACTTGGCAAGATGCTTATATTAGGTGCTATCCTCAATTGCCTGGATCCCATATTAACTGTTGTTGCTGGTCTTAGTGTGAGAGATCCTTTTCTAACACCACTAGATAAAAAAGATGTAAGCTGCTCCTGTTTTCGATGGTTGTCTAATGACTGAAAAGCAAATATATATTTCTCAGTTCCTTATTTCTTCCCTTGTTCCCCTGTTCCTTCTTATCCTCATAGTGAACTTGATTTCATTATTTGAGTTCAAAGATCTTCATTGCAGCTTGCCGAGGCGGCAAAATCTCAATTCTCTGGTGCATACAGTGACCACCTAGCACTTGTGCGGGCTTATGAGGGTTGGAAAGTTGCTGAGGTAGACCTGGGTGGATATGAATATTGTTGGAAAAACTTTCTTTCATTTCAATCCATGAAATCTATTGATGCTCTTCGGAGGGAGTTCAAAGGCATGCTTATAGATATTGGATTAGTTGATAGCAACACAACAAGCTGTAACACATGGAGCTATGATGTGAATCTTATCCGGGCAGTTATTTGCTATGGTCTATATCCTGGAATTTGTTCTGTGCTGGTATGCCTTTTTATATGACACGTCTACTAATATAAAAGCCATTCCCTTAATCAGTACTGAATGTAGATTAGACCAAGAGGAACAAATGCCCCTTCAAACCTTCTCCTTTTTTCACCATGGCATTCATTTTAATATATGCACAAGCACAACATCTTTTCCGCATTGCCTCCTTCCTTTATGATCTAAATAGATTTGTTAAAGCCGGATTTTGTTTTCCTCATAACTAAAGCTCTGCAAGTCTTTGATTTGAAGGGCAATTAGTTATCTAATGACTTTCCGAGGCTTTTTTTTTCCTAGTCTTATTGTAGTTTTATTGTAATAATTTTTGTAGGATAATTATTATATGTGGACTTGAACCGGTGATATCCACCACAGAGTAAACCACGGCCTCTCAAGCCCTGATTGATAAAAGGATATAAATTAATTTTAACAAGATCTTTTATCTTTTTTCACATACTCTTGGAAGTTCTGGCATCACTTGTTTGGCTGTAGATGTTAAGAGGCCCACATTGGATGGAATTTGGTTTGAACATAAGTTTATAATTGAGTGCAACCTTCATCTCACAATCTGGTTTTGAAGGGTTGAGTTAGACTCAACCCAAATTTTAAGATGGTATTAAAACCTGAACATAAATTTATAAGTGGAAGCGATCATCATATTACAAGCAGGTTCTGTAGGGTTAACATAAACCCAACCCAAGTTCTATGTAGAAAATTTTCAACATTTTGTATTTCTAAATTTTCTTGATTATATGAAGAGAATTAACTAAATTAAAAATAATTAGTGTTTTACTAAAAGCTCTGATACATGATGATAAATTAATTATGAAAATCATCATGAATTAAACATACTGTTGATCATCAAACTCATTAAACTGTGCCAATCCAGAATTTTGTTAGTTGTCATTGTTTTCCAAGAAATATTGTACTGCTTGGAGTTGTGCAATGTGTTAATTTAGTATAGTGTAATTAGCTTATTCTTATGTTTTGGGACTGAAATAAGTAAGATGTAATTTCATTTGCAGCATAATGAGAAGTCTTTCACTTTGAAAACAATGGAGGATGGTCAAGTGCTCTTATATTCGGTTAGTTTAATCAATATAATTGCTGCTGGTTATTAAACTCTTGACATATTCAAACTCGATATTTTATGCTGTCTTTTTTATTCTTTTTTGTCTTCCTTTTTAAATGCATGTCCGTTCGATTTGCCTAGAACTCGGTTAATGCTCGTGAAACTAAAATTCCATATCCATGGTTAGTTTTTAATGAGAAGATAAAAGTGAACTCAGTTTTTCTCCGTGACTCAACAGCCGTTTCTGATTCAGTGGTGCTTTTGTTTGGTGGAAGCTTATCAAAAGGAGATGCTGTAAGTACAGTGTGCTTTTTTTTATTGGTTCTAATGTTGTAATCTATGTTCTATAAAATGTTATATATTCAAATTGAAGCCAAAGTTTTAATTGTATTATGGTTTACTGAATCCAATTTTTCTATCAGGAAAATCACATAAAAATGTTAGGAGGATATCTGGAGTTTTTCATGGAACCTACTGTTGCTGATATGCATCAGAGTATAAGGAGAGAACTTGATGACTTCATTCAAAGCAAAGTAGGTGCTCATTCTCAGACCAGCTTTTCCTTGATATTTGAAATTTGAATAGTTAGTGCCTTTTCTATTGAGAAATTTACAGTGACGGTATGAACAATAATTTTAATTTACATTGCTGTGTTGTGCCTAACAGCTACTTTCTCCAACAATGAGCATACACTCGCATCATAACCTCCTATCCGCGGTACGGTGTCTGATTTCCATTGACTCGTGTGAAGGCAGATTTGTATTTGGTCGCCAGGTCCTTAAACCATCAATGAAATCCGTGATCCCCTCACACCCAGCATCATCGGTTTCAAGGACAGAGAGTGGACCTGGGGGTGATAATCCTAAAAGTCAGCTCCAAACCCTGCTTACAAGAGCAGGATATGCTGCACCTGTCTACAAGACTAAACAATTGAAGAACAACCAGTTTCGATCTTCAGTTGAGTTAAACGGAGTGGAGATAATGGGTCAACCTTGTAGCAATAAAAAGAGTGCAGAAAAAGATGCTGCAGCTGAAGCGCTGCAATGGTTAATGGGCAAGCAAGCTGGCTGTGAATATATCGATCACATGTCGAAGTTGCTGAAAAAAAGTAAGAAGGATCACAATTAAGTAATTAACTATATCTAGCTTAATGCCAAGGTAAAGGAACACCAAGAAGATTTGGCAGTGGCATTTTGGATCTCTGCATTTTTCTCATGAAAACAGGGAAAGCCCGAACACAGGATCACACCGGCTCAAGCAAGCAAGGAATTGTCAATCAAAGCGTGAAGATATTTTTGTCAAGAAAATACTTGGTTAGCTGGTTTAGCGGTAGGGTCATTTTGCAACAGGACTCTGGAGAACCTAGTCCATGGCGTTCATTCATGGGGTGATGTGCATATTCAGCGGAAAAAATGCCTAACTAATAGTTCTAATATCTTATCCCATTGATTTTTTGTATAGTAACTGTTTTGACATCATATGTTGAATCTCCTGGGATTTTGTTGTGTCTAAGAGCAAAATGGTAACAATTGTTCGTAATTAGGAAACGGGGTGTGTTTTAAAACCGGTAAAGGGTATCCAAATTATTTCACTTTTAAAAATTCATATCAAATGTCAAAATGTAAATATGGGTATCTATTTTATTATTCAAATATAAACCGATATGAATATTCATAGTAATAATAATAATATGATTTAGTTATTGGATATCTAAATTTTATTATGTGTTAAATTTATATATTTGTTTTTTTTCATGTTATATATATATATATATATATATATATATATATATATATATATATATATATATATATATATATATATATATATATATATATATATATATATATATATATATATATATATATATATATATATATATATATATATATATATCAGTTTTTTAATAGTATTTTAATAAGGACGTTTTATTTTTTTTCTTCCTCTTTTTTCTTTATTTAAGAGAGATTTTTGCAATGAAAACAAATGTGTCGTAACTGTTTAAAAAAATATGATAAAGCAAAAACAGCATAGTTAAAAAACTGGGTAACAAATAACTGAAATATTTATTTAGTTGAATCTGAGTTTTAAATCAATTTTACGATAAATTTGTTCTGTGAAAAATCTAATTTCAAATTATTTCAAGTGAAAAACTAGATATTAATATTAACCGATTTTAAACCAGACTGATTCAAATAAAAACCAAATTTTAAAAAATAACCTGGTTTAATTAAAGTGGTTTTAAAAATCAAATTGAATTATATATTTGATTCAGTTTAGTTTGATTTTAAAACCATTCATACCCCTTACCCCTAATCGACATACGTAATTTACTCAGCGACAATTTGTGATGCATTAGGGTCTGTTTGGTTACGGCGTTTTGAATCTAATTTCCATTTTAATTACTATATCTGAATTTTTATTACTATGGGGGGCATTTTGTATTAATATGTACATTGAAGCATGGTTATCATCCACAGATATGCATTTTGGCTCCCTCTTAATTAAACCCAACAAATATTTTGATTTATTTTACTCATCTTAATCTTTTTGAAATAATTTTCCCTTAAGCAAACTTACATTAATAAACGGTGAAAAACATCAAATATACATCCATAAATTTCAGGGAATTTTTTAATAGATTCTATGTATTATTAAGGCACCACGTAAAAATATAAAAATACTTTTAGAATTCAGAAATACATTTTCAGACATATTTTAAGTTCATAAAAGTCTGACTTAATATGAAAAAATTACGAAAATACATCTTCGTAAACATTACAGAAATGCATCTCTGAACGCTATTTGTATAACACGTCAAAACTTTTCTTCTTCCTGACTTGTTAAAAATACAAATATTTCTCTAAAACTCTCTCAAAATCACATCGTCTCAAAATCAATTAAGCAACACCAAAACTTCTTCAATCATCACCGAACGACATTTAAGAGCACATTTAACATCAACTTCAAAGTTTTCACACTTCGTGTAAGTTTTTTTTATTATTGTAAACTTTTTAGAGTTTTTATATAAATTTGTAGAAATTGATGACTAAGTCATGTTCATGTGTGTTGCTTAGATGTCGTCGTATTGTGAAGATTGCATAGGTAGGTATTGATAGATGTAAATTTTTGGATGGTTCTGAGATGAAGGAGGTCTTAGATGTCATTATGACGGAGGCACGAGAGACACTAATGTACCAGAGACAACAGAGCACAGGTGGGTGGGGGGTGGGGGGAGAGCTCGAGTCTGGCATATATAATAGTTGATAGCATCTGTAGTTTGAATGTATGTTCGATTGTATTTTATTTTTATTTATTTCGACTTTATTGTGTATGTCATGATGACTTATTTTGACTTCAGATTTATATGTTATTTTTTGTATATCAGTTGTATGGTTTAATGCTCCTCACATAATGAAGGCCTTAACATTTATAAATCGTCATTGTCATCCGGGTAACCATAAAACTAACTTAAATTTCACTATTTTGACTGGTTACAAAAATGCATCTTCGGATCAATAAATGTTTAAAATGAGCCTTTCAGAGAGGGATGCATGGGGGGTGTTATGAAATATTTCGAAGATGCATCTCCGAATTCATGTTTACAAAATATATTGATGTGATTCAGTGGGATGCATGTGGTGTGTTTTAAAGTATTTCAGAGACGCATCTCCGAATGAGTTGTAACGTTTTGACTTAAGATATAGATATGTCCGGAAATGCATCTCTAGAATCTAAGAGCATTTTGTGATTTTCATAGGGTCTTTTTCCACCCTATAGGGTGGGATAAGAAATTCCCTAACTTTAACATCTATGAACCTTTCCTTCTTTTTGTTTCTCATCTTAACCATCTCCTTTCTTTTGGTGAGTACTCTCTTCATCCCATGGGTGCTTCCCCACCACAGGGAAAATTCATAACTGCCCATAGAATTCAGAGGTGCATCTCTAGACACATCATTTTTATACACTCTTTAACGCAAATTGGTGAACCACTCTTATTTTGCCAAAAATTTAGTTCGGATATGCATCCCGTAACAAAGTTAGGGTGAATTCAGAGATGCATCTCCATATTAACCCTTATTTTTAAGCTTAGAGTGTTTTATGAAGATGTATCCCCATACACATTTTAATTCATGTAACTTGTGCCAGACCCTTCCCCTTCCTTCTTCATTTGCTGTAAACTCACTAAAACCCCATTTGAACTCGTGAGCAAAATTTTTCAAGTTCATTTTTTACGGTTTAACATTACTTCTATTTCACTACATTCAATCCCATAGCATTCCATTCACTTCTTTCAAGCTTTTCATACATAATTTTCATTCGGTAAATTTCTCATTTCGTTTCATTTTTGATATTTGATAATGCATTAGGTAAACCAAATTGTTTAAGATGCATTAGGTAGTAGTTAAATTTGAAATAGGTAGCTGGTAGAGACACGCGTTTCCATTTGATTAGAGTTTAGGGCATCAATGGGGCTTGAGGTTTCTACCATTTCTACAAGTTGCGAGTTTATCAGGTGATGCATCTCTGAATTTTTTCATAACCGCGTTACAAAGATCCATCTCCGAATTTTGCCTTAATTGCATTTTGATGTGATTTTCTTGTTTTATTACAAGTACAACGACGAAAAGCTGTTAAAAGTGTTTTTCGTAATTCAATTGTTGTAAACGGTTAACACGAGGGTGTAATCAGTTATAACAAAGCCAAAAGCATTATGAGTTGTAGAAAAAGTGAAAACTCAGAAGCTCTAACCAGTTAACATCTGAGTGTAACCGGTTACCACTGAAAAGAGATTTATTTTAGTGTCAGTTGTAACCAGTTACATGTTTAGTGTAACGGATTACAGACTCGAGTTTTTTCAATTTTTTATGCTATGCAATTGCATGTAGTGTGTCCCAATCACTTTTATAACACTTGTATAAATTCCATGGAGACATCCTCATCTTTGGCTAATGTGATTAACACTTCTCACCCTCAATTCTCTCTCTCTCTCTCTCTCTCTCTCTCTCTCTCTCTCTCTCTCTCTCTCTCAATTTCCTCTTTTCCTCTCCACACTTTAATTTTCTCAATCATTCACCAATCTTGTGGTTCTAAGTTCCAACATTTAACACCAATAACCTGGTTCTAATCCACAAACGCCTAGTGTGCAACATGAATTCTGTCTCCAATGAAAGAATCCCTGCAAACCTACATATCCTTAATACGAAGAATTAAGACAAATGGTGCAAGAAAATGAAAGTGTTGTTCTAAAACCAAGATGTTCTTGAAGTGATTACTAACGGGGTGAATCCTCTTGTCAAAGGTGCAACAATTGCACAACAAGCAATACATAAGGAAGAAAAGAAGAAATATTTCAAGATGCTGCTTTTGATCCATCAATGTGTGGATGGTGAAAAATTTACAAAATTTGGTGATTACGAATCCTCAAAGCAAGCATGGGAAATCTTAGAAGGCATACACAGGGGTTGACAAGGCGAAGGCGGTGATGTTACAAACTCACAAGCGTCAACTTGAATTGATTCAAATGGAAGAAAATGAGATAATCAACGATTTCACAATGAGAATCCCTCGGTTGGTGAATAAAGTGAAGTTATGTGGAGAAACACCCTTGGAGAAGCATGTTGTCATGAAAATCTTGCGTTCTTTAACACCAAGATTTGACAACGTGGTTGTAGCGATTGAGGAGTCGAAGGATCTCGCAGAGATGAGAAAAGAGGAACTACAAAGATCTCTTGAGGCTCATGAGCAAAGGATGGAGGATAGAAATAATGATAAGGCAAAAACAAAGATCAATTTGCAAGCTTGCTTCAACGAGAAGAACAAGAAATCAAAAGGAAAATGGCCCATGAAGAGTAAAGGTATTTTTCAGAATTTTGATGGAAGAGAGTTTCAAAATTTCAAGAATTCGACTTGTCAAAGAGGTGAGAGCAGATGCAACAAACACAGTGTGTTGCACCCCAAAATTTGCCCAACATTTCTTTACCTAGCTTATGTTTCATTTCATTCACATTAGCATTATCATTTGCATCTCATTGATATGTATGCAGGAGATCAAGAGGTATGATTACCAATTAAGAGCTATACAAGACTGTGAGGATAGCTAAGAAGGTTATTCAGATGTTCAAGGG